ATGAAATGGTGTATATTGGGACTGCTGGAAGTCTTAGACTACAAATCCTTCAAACCTTGCATGATTTTCCACATAGAGGTCATCCAGGAGCACATGCTACATATCATAGGATAAAATCTAATTTTTATTAGCCTAGACTTAAGGCTATTGTGGCTACTTATGTGAAGTGTTGTGCAGTTTGTCAACAAACTAAGGTGGAACATATAACAAAGCTTGGCTTGCTACAGTCCCTGCCTATTCCTAGCCAAGTTTGGGAAATCATTACAATGGATTTTATAGAGGGTCTGCCTAAATCCCCAAGGAAAAATTGCATACTGGTTGTAGTGGATAATTTCACCAAATACAATCATTTTTTTGCACTATCTCACCCTTATTCTGCAGTTGAGGTAGCTAAATTATACCTAAACAATGTCTATAAACTACATGGTCACCTAAAATGGCCATTTCAGACAGTGATAAGACATTCACTAGTGTCTTTTGGAGGGAACTGATGAAATAACTGGGCACTAGAACCCTGTTTAGTACTGTTTACCATCCAAAAATAGATGGTCAAACAGAGAGGGTCAATCAATGTTTGGAGCAGTATCTCTGAGGACTCTATTTTTTTCAACCTAAACAATGAGCTAAATGGTTGTCCCATGCCGAGTGGAGGTACAACACCACCTAACACATCGCCCTACGACTCACTCCTTCCCAGGCCCTATATGGCTACAAACCCCCAACTATGGTATGGCATACAAACTCTCAAGTACAAACTGTGAGTGAAATGATGAACAACAGAGAGGAAATTCGACAACTAGTTAAACAATAGTTGGAACTGGCTAGCAATAGAATGAAGCAACATGCAGACAAGAAAAGATCATAGAGAGTATTCAAAATCGAGGATGGGGTTTACCTCAAATTGCAACCTTACAGACAAAATTCACTTGCCTTGCGTAAGAATCTGAAATTGGCAGCCAAGTATTATAGTCCATACAAGATTGTGGAAAAAATCGGAGAAGTTGCATATCGTTTAGACTTACATGCGACATTACGATTGTACCCCGTATTCCATGTTAGCCTACTGAAGAAACGCATTGGGGAATCATTGATATCTGCAACTGATCCTCCTACAGTAGATGAAGGTGGTCAGTTCAAAATTTAACCCTTGAAGATAATGGGCAGGTGTATTGTTAATCGTAACAACAAACCGGTGACTCAACTTTTAGTTCGATGAGAGAATCTGGATGAAGCAAATGACACTTGGGAAGATTTTTCGGTTCTCAGGGGCCAATTTCCAGCATTTGATCCTTGGGGATAAGGATCGTCTCAAGGGGTGGGTATTGTCACAGTAGGAGAAGAAGATTAGCGAGGAATCGAAGAAGAATTGGGGATTCACGGTCAAGGGTTAGGGATTGAAGGAGTTGGATTTGGGAATTGGATTAGCAAAGCACGTGAGAAGCATGAGAAGGGATTAAAGCCTTCATTAACTGAATAGGATAGCAATGGAGCAGCCTAGTCAAGCAAGCCCAATACACATGAAGAAAAGGATATAGTTAGTTAAGCAAGGACAACCACCTGGCAGTTGTTAGATTCTGAGTACAATTGTAAACAAATAAATTAAGAGTACTTGTAGAAGGACGTTATGCATTTTGTGAATGAAATCTATTTTCTCATCTCTATTCTTTCTTCTATTCTCGTGCTTTTCTCTTTATTCTTCTCCATTTTCCTGTTAACCATAACACTTTTCTTAGTTTATGTGTAGCCATCTGTTGGATTAGAGTGGGATTTAGACTCTTAATTTCCAAAGTCCATTCATTTTCTCTTGTTTTGCAGGTTCTGGAGCTTCCAGGTCATCCATTTTATGCAAGAGTTCAGTTTCATCCATAATTTAAATCACGGCCAGGGAAACCCTTAGCACTGTTTTTAGGTACGTACTTACAGTACACAATTACTTCATTCGAGTTATGTGCATGTAGGGTGCATAATTTCTCATTCAAACAAAGAAAATGATGCGAGAAGACTGCACTCATGCGTCCCTTTGGAAGGGCATGGTCTCATATGGGTGGAGTTAAAGATCGTCATCGCTTGAACCCTTTAAAGTTTTCATTCTAACCTGGATTTTAATCATGCTATATCCTCATAAATAAGAAGGAAAATAAATAAACTTCATATGCTTGGTCATATAGTTTTCATTCTTTCTATAAGGAATATTTCATGAATTTGGATGATTTATCTTCTAACATGCAAAATGATATATATATATGCCTTTGAGATCATAGGTCTTGTATTATCTGCAAAAGGACAATTGGAAGAATATCTTAACCGGCATCAAAATGGAAACTGATTCACAAGTTGTAATGATACATCCGAATCAATTTTACAAGGCAGTCATCTTTTTGAAATTCAAATATATAAACAAGGTAGCAACTTTCAACCTTGGCTGAGAGGATTTGCTTTCACCATGAGAGAGACTGTTCTAGAGCCTAAACCATGTACCTGTTTCCCGTTCGGGTCAACCGGATCTAATTGCTACTATTGTTTGCACATATAAAGTCGTGGCAATAAGTGTAAAATAGCATAATTAATTGACTGTCCCTTATATTGTGTTGTGTCTGACCCTTTATTATATTTATTGGTGGAAATCATGTGGTTATAGCCAGTTAAGGTTTGGGACTCGACAGCTGTTGGCCAATAATTTTCTTCGGAAATATTGCAAACTGCCATGTCCTGTACAATGTAAACTTATTGTGTATCAACTGTTTCAAGTTATTATTCATTTATTGTTGACTCGCCATTGTGCAGGCATGCATGAAAGGGACATTTATTTATACTTTGGTTGGCAATATTAATATGGGCCACTTCCCTTTTTTCTCGTGATGAAGCATGATTGATTTTTGTCTCTAATGTTTATAATATACGTATAAATATGGGGAGAGATGCATGATTCTAAATTAGGGGATAAATTTATAGAATTTTAGAAGATAAAAATATATTATTAATTAAAAAATATAAAAAATATTTAAGATATATAAAATTTTAAAATTTTCAAGGAATCATTATCCCTATTAACCTCTTGATCCATCATTGTATAAGTAGCTAGGAGTAGAATGACTAGTTGTCTGCCGCTACTAATTGCTAATGAAGGAGCAGCAATCAAAGGTGATAAAGATCTTTAGTTCTTATTGATGATTCGTAAACACTTAAATCCTCTTAATTCACAAAAATTAAACTCCCGCAATGTTTCAGCATCTCTTAAAAAGAAATCTCTGTAAAAGCAGCAAATTCAAAGGAAAAAAAATGGAAAAGCTGTAGAATATGCAGAACAATGCACATAAAAAAAATGCAGACTGGTCCACAACATTCAAGATTCAATTAACTAGCGCCTCTGTTAAGCATTTCAGTGTATTCCAAATAAGAAATTTGTCTCTGCAACTTCATCTGCTCATAAAACTGTGCTATGAACTTATCCGCCTTGGAATCAATCCCTTCTTCCTCTGGCGGGCATGAACTCTTGTCGTTTCCACACTCTGTCTCCTTCTGTCTTCCTTGTTCTCCCGTTGAGTTGCTCTTTCTTCCACTATCGTACCCGTAAACCCCGTCATCTCCATCGGTGCCGAAATCGTAACCGAAATCCACTTCCTCAGGGCTAATGCAAGGAAGAAGGAAGCGCATGGAAGCTGGACGGTGCATCTTGACATGGAAGATGGGTGTCTCATCGAAGGAGAGCTGTCGTTCGTTGAAATTGATTTGATGAGGGGAAGCCGCCTTGGTATGTCCGAGACCTTTGAGGAACTTAGGCACCGATCTTAGCTCCATTACAAGTCGTCTCTTGAAAACCCCACTTTTTCTCGTCCATAACAATAACAGACGCAGTACCCTCCATGCTCTTTGAGCAGCACCATCGCTGTTTTTCTTCGGCATTGTAGACAGCTTCATCTGCAGCAAATTAGCAAAGCTGGTACGAGAAAACGCTGGGAAAGTTTGTTGTAGGGTTGTGAAACGATAATGCTTTTGTTCAATGCCCTAGCAGTTGAGGGATTTTGAGATGTCAAGGTTGCCTCTTTATATATATCCCCATGTAGTTGAGCGTTTGATGATTGATACGCGTACACAGAGTGAGATTAATGAAAATAAATGAATTTTAGTTGTTTGGTTGGTGAGAAATGTGAAATGTGGGCGGTGGAACCTCGTGGGAACACCGTTGTAAGCGACACAAATTTAGCTGTCGCCATTTTGTTTGAGAACATTCAAAGTCCAAATTTTCAAACAAACATTCAAACCCCATAAAATTTAAAAAAGCTCCTAAACTCTTCAAAGGTTGATCTTTTGTGTTTAATTTCACGACAATTCAAAAAATTTTAAACCAAAAAAGTGATAGAGGATGATGAGATTAGTATGTCTAGGATGACCGTAAAAAATGTTTAAGAAAGACGACTCAGACAACGACTAGAAATGGACGAAAAACCTCGACTTTGATGAAAAATATGATAAGATAAATTAAAATATTCATTTTAACTTCCACGTCATTGTTAAACTACTCCATCATATGTCTCTTAATGAGTTACCTGTCCAATACTAAATAAAAATCTAAACTAAAATTCAATACTATGATTAAATTAATTTAAAATTCAATAATAAAATCAATACTAAATCTAAAATTAAGTGATGTTTGACTTTTATTTATACAGATTTGTAATATAACTAATTCGGACTCTTACATTACATAAACTTAGATGATGAACCTGCAATAAAGACATGTAATTCAACGAATCTATGAAAGGGCGTGTAAGACAAGTGATCATGAATCCTCAACTTATCCTTGGTCAAAAGTTTGGTACCACTCATAATATATTGATTTTGAGCTGAACTAATTGATAATCAAATTTTTGAAAAAAAACTTCAATCATTTGTTAACTAAACTGAATTTTAATTTAATTTAATTTTAACCAAACAATTGAAAACGTTAGCTTTGAACACTAGACTTGCCAGGAAGATCAAACTCTTAAAACAACATGAAAGATAACACGCTTCACAGCAAATCTAACCAAAGAGAGGAAAATACAAAAGCAGAAAGGGCATAAATTAAGCTCCATGATATACATATATATTACATGATCTAACAACCTGAAGGAGAAAGTTTAAGATGAAGATCGAGGCCTACGTTCGCCTCTGGCAATTTACCAGAAAATTCATTGAGCGCCGGGACTGCTGTGCCAAAATGCACTGGCTGTGCTACGCAAAATTGAGGACTGTACCGATAAGGAGTCGAGGGAAGAAACAGCGGCCGTGATGGACATGGACAATAACATGGTTGCTGCACAAATTTAGCAGCACCGTTGCTAGTGAGCCCTCTACTGTACGCGGGGTGCATCGACCGTACAGAATGTGAGCTTAAAACAGGCGCAGATGCTATGACATGCTGATGGCTATGAAACTGGGCTCGCCCTGCTCTTTGACGCTCTCTCTTATGTGCATTTTGATGTCCTCCTAGTGCTTGAGAGTTGGCAAATGCTCGGTGGCAAAACGGACACTCGAACTTCCTGCTTTCTCCGAAATCCTCAGCTTTCTCTATCACTTCGACTTGCTGATCAGTTAGGGAGAAACCGAATAACTTCAACGGTAAATAGGACTTCGGGTATGATTCTTTATCCGGTGCCACATCGGTCGAAGACAGCTTGGTCGAGATCGAGCTCTCCGCCATTGTAACGTAGAAGAATGGACTAGATTGTGTATGAGATGTTCAAACTAGTTTTACCCTGTATTTATAGATGGGACTGGTTAGATATTCGTACATCCACCTTTAGTTCATCAAGTTTTCAAAGGGTATTAGACCAATTGACTTGATGAGTAAGTGGATTATACCTGGAAAGTGAAAAGCATGATTGTTGTGCAGAATTTTGGGGCTATTGGTAACAATTTCTTATTCGAAGATCCAGGTAAATAATGTCAGTAAAAAATAAAATTGCTTTTGGCCGTGCAATTTCTTTTACTAGTTACGAACATTGCTAGAAAGAAAATGCCGTAAACTCGTGAAAACTCTCTTGTCAGGCACAGTTTTCATGTGACGATGAAACATCGAAAAAAGAGAGAAAAGATAAAAGAAAAGTGCCCGAGAAAGACGGGGGATTAGGGTCATTGTCTCCACTGTAGGCAAAGATGTATTAAGATTGTCTGTCCCTCTTGCCTGGTTCCTTTAATGTGCTAAAGTCCCCGCACGCGCGCCTTTACTTCTTCGCCTGCATAATCATTCAATCGACCAACACAAGAGATAGAGCGTTGATCCAAAACTCATATAAAGTCGTGCTCTAAGGTACTTAATTGTGAATATAACTATCTAGCAACAGATTAGTTCTGTTGACGAGAACAAATTAATCTCATCGATAGTTGATAATTTACCCTTTTTCAATTTAGATGTAGAATCATGGTCGATAAAAAACAGTTATTGATCAGTGTTTATCTACGAAGAAGAGTTTATCATAAGAAGAAACATGAAGATTGAGTGTCGATAGTAAAAGGTTCAATATCTTGACCAGTCTTGGCTAAGAGTATTTATAGTGATCCCGACCGATGGTGTAAGAAAAGATAATTATGGCTATTGTAGATTATCTATCTAAATAGATCTGGTAAATAGATCTTGAATTTAGTTTTGATAATTCAGGTGAGTATCGCAGAAATATTATCTTTGTACTGTTATTCGATGTGAGGGTCTATGTTCGGAGGGTGTGAATTCGTTGATTGCCTTAGTAAGCAGAGAAGTCTGTTAGAAAACTTTGGTTGATGAAGAATAGGAAGCTTCTGTAGGTCATGTCTGACAGAAGCTTGATAATTTTCGGAGATCATCCCCAGAAGTATAACAAGCATATATGACAAAATGCTGCATTTTCATGTAGCATCCCCGTTGCTAAGAGCTGTAAGCTAGGTTTGAGATATACATGAAACAGTTCTTTAGCTGTCAAACTATTAGTTAGGTTGGTTTCTTTCATAATCTTGGCTGATGGAACCAGAAAAAGAAATGCTAAATATCGCTGTGAATATAGGTTAGGCATGATAAAATCGATGCTCGAATCTTCTCCCGACTACCACTCGATTCTTGGTATCAACCATCCTGTGTAACCCAGATTCAAAGAACCCATCCTGTTTGTTGATCAATACTCGGAAAAGATGATTAATAGTGAAGATTTGACATTGATGTAACCTTGATTCATATTCCCTCGTTTCCCTTTTTAGGGTCAATTGTGGTGTCATTTAGACAGGTTTCTGCAATTGAAAATGTCTACTAAGGTGTAGGCCAATCCACAGGAGATTAAACAAGGACTTCTTTTTCCTTCGTTAAAAGAATATTTTGGTCTTATGGGATTGGTGAGGGACAAACAGAGGCATGGCATCTGAGCTTTTTATCTGCTCAATTGGACTATGAAAAGAACTAAATCATTTTCTGTACTTTGCATAGGCATACTATATTACCATGTGACTGTCTCTGTATAGCCACACGTTTCGAAACACCATTGGCTCGTGGATTAGAATGGTTGTCTGCCACTAGCGTCCTCAGTGACATACTTGAATACTTCATCCCCTCATCCAGTGTTTTTTTGATGCTCACAGTGTCTCCCATAATCTAGATTTCCTTGACATGCATCCCCCTTTTATTTCACTAAAGAGAGAGAACCGGTGGTGCGTTTTCTAATTATAGTTCTGAATTGCGACTGCAACGCAATACAAAGGCTTAGGATAACTGGCCGCAAGTCGGCAACTGGGACCATTAATGGTAACTGAATACCCTTTTGATGATGTTTATCCCCTCGCAAGTCGGCAACTGGGACCATTAATGGTAACTGAATACCCTTTTGATGATGCTTATCCCCTTCGAACAGCTCATTAGGAAAAACTCATACAATGTCCGACTTTGCCAGCTGAATTGTACTAGGAATCCTATGCGTTATATGTGTGTGTAGCCACATCTCGATTGAAGACATTGATTAGAATGGTTTGGTCTGTACGACTTATTCTTGAGGATGTTAGTCTATTTGCTCCGACATCATTGGTTTCCCCACATGTGTGCTCCGTAGTTTGCTTCTTTTATCACCCATGCTTTGTCCAAAAACGATTTCACATCATTCCAAAACACAGATGAAAACGCCTCACCAGGCTAGCGATGCCCCCACCACGGCCAATGGTGTCATGTAGCCCTTCCTTTCAGATTGTTTGGTTCCATTAATTGGACAAAAAACTCATCGAGTGGTTAATCAGCCCTACTGGGATATAATTAGGATAATTTCTTTAGCCCTGTAAAACTAGCTAAGAGCACAGTAAACAAGTAGTTCAAGGCGTTTCACTGTTGGATACAGGACACCAAAGTACAGATGATGGCTCAGTTCGAGTTTTTCTTACCCAAAAAAGAAAAGAATCTTCAAGGCACCATTATTGTTCCTCATGTTATTATTTGTCAGATTTCCAAAGTCTTTAAATTGCCTAGTTCCTTGTATTCTATGTTTCAACAATTAATGTGACATGACACGATGGAGGTACTTATCATCTCTTTCATGAAATATTGCAGACTGTCCTCTAATAACTACATGATCAAACAAAGTAATCATGTAGGGTCCATCTGTCTGTTTTATTACCCTTCTCCATGATTTTATTTTTTGAAGTTAAAACCTCAGAGTAGCATCGACAACTGCATGTTGCTTGGGAAACATGAATAGACTGCTCAGCCACTGAGTTCGGATATGGTAAATCAGAGGTCACCGGAAAGTGAAAAAACATGGTCCAGTCGGGCAGTAAGATATCCGATGTCGAAATCTGGATTTTTATATGCTCTAATACAACATAATCCTGAAAATATATAAAAGACTGGTGGTTATGGGTTAGGATAGGCACAATAGGATCACCTTGGATCTCTTGTTTGTTGAGTAAGACCCGATGAACATTGTTAGAAGACAACATCAAAAGATTTCAGAATCCTTAGAGGTGACCCACCGAGCTCCCCATTAGAAGGGACTAAAGCCTGTGTGGTGCAGTTGTATGATTCGGCTTCAGCGCAAAGTGGCTACAGAATATGGATATTGAGGTGGCTCTTACGGAAATGGTCAACTTTCCCTCACCATTTGGTTGCCCTCAAATTAACACCTTTTCAGCTTGAGATGATTTACCAAGATTTTATTCCAGATATTATGATACCTAATGTTATATATTCCATATACCCCATAGTTGTAATTCGAGAAGAAAAGAAAGGGTATAAATGGTTTTTTGACATGATTATGTATGTTGAAATCTGTTAAATATTAGGGTAAATTACATCGATGACCACTAAACTATTAGCCATTTTCATTTTGACAATCGACGTTTTAATTTGATCAATCAGACCACTCAACTATTTAAATACTTCAATCATGTCACTAACCATTAAATTTTAACGGAGGTGGTGATCTATCAATTAATAAAATTGATATAATTATATATTTAGTTCTTAATACTTATATATTCTATCAATTTAGTTCTAATTTTAATTTAATTTCAAAAATTAATCCTCCAATTCGGAGGTGCTATGTGTCAATATATTATTGGGGTGTTCTTTTTAATTAATTTTAATATTTGAACAAAATAAATTTTCTCACTAATTAGATGGTAACACATGTCACCACCAGTATAAAGAAAAATAAATGGTAACATAAATGCTTCATAGGTGGTTCAAACTAAGGACCCAAAAATCCTAGGGCATATCTCAACCACCAGACTAAATGCCCAATTTGTCTTTTGGTTGAAAACTTTGCGATATATTTTGAATTAGATTATTTGACACACGTATATATTAAAATATTGAAACAAATATAAAAAAATTAATTATATTTCTCACACACATATATATATTATAGTTAATGCAAGATTTAAAAATAAAAATGAGGTTGGTATTTTTATTATTTTAAATTAAATTTTTGTCACAATTATTTTTAAATGATTGTAAATATAAAGTAAATGAGAAATACTTCTAAACAAATTTTGAAGAAAAAAATTTAAGATTTAGATTATAAATTTATTTTATGATTTAAGTTGTTTTGTGACTTTTGATAGAGGTGAGCGTTCGATCGAGTCGAGTCAAAATAATTCGAGTTATTTAAGTTAACGAGTCTTATTTTATAACTAGAAGTTGACTTAATTTTTTTTTGAATCAAGTTTATCAATTCGAATCGAGTCGAGTTGACTTTTCGAGTTTATGTTGAAATTTAATTGTAAATATTTATAATATACATATATTATACACAATTGAGTGATTCGACTCAAACTTGAAAATCAATCCACTAATTACTGAAAATTTTGAGTTATTCCAGTTGTATTTTACAACTTGATTTAGACTTGAAATTTTTTTAAGTCGAGTCAAGTTTATAAAATTAAACTCGAAGCAATTTGAGACTGAGGTTTGTATAAAACCTTTAAGCTTTTTCATGAACTCTCGATAGTGGAGGGAGTAATGGCAAAATTAACCCATTAGTCTTTATTTCAACCCCTAAACTTATGTCGATAATCACCCTTTACCATCTAAGAAGCTCCACCCGACCTCCCCTCCCCCGGCTACTATAACCCCTATGAAATCGAGACCGATTCGATCACAAAGCAACGTTTTAAATCTCACGAACCCTAGGATGAAAATCGTGATCCCAAGCATTTTCGACGGTGAATCGGCGATACAACGACATATAACTACAATGATGTCAAGGACTACGTCGGCGACGGCAGTGGTGACCGAATAAGGCGCCGACTGTGGATTAAGGG